ATCTAAAACAAAACAACGACACGCTACGAAAATAAACACTTCCCGATCGCCAGTTTCCTACATTATTATTTCACATAAATATTTCGCTGCCTAAACAAATTTGAGACGCCGAACCTTGCTCCTCCGATTTACTTGATTTTTCCCTAGGGGTTATGTTGATCACGAAAACAAACTCTGATATTTACCTTCCAATATTAATACGATTTTGGTTCCTCACAAATATTGTTTATTTATTTCAGTTTCACAAATTGTAATTAACTGTGGCATTGTGATAATACATTTTCTAATGCCATAAATATATCAGTAGTATGTTTAACGATATATTGAAATATTTGGTGTCACGTACAGTTCGAATAGGCTATCTTTAAAGAATTTTCAAATTCAGGCAACTCACGTAGAGTGGACCTGACGAAATTCATTTTCTAATGCCTGATGTTACAACTTCTAACAACTATTAAAACATGAAATCATTTTGCAAAACATAACTTTACGATTGATTTTTGCTACGAACACGCTAAAAGCAAAATAATATTTTATTGAAAGTAATGATATCAGTAGCTTTTATGAGGAATATCTAATAATATGAACTTTATTTAGAGATCACACACAACGATGCCAACACATCGTAACTTAAAAGAGCCGGGAGTGTGAACATAAGCACTTTACGAGTTTTTCGAGCTGGAAGAGGTCACCCTCAGGGAAGGCCGTTTGCATGTGCCAAAGGCAAAGTTCACCAAGTCAACCATTCTGGGCCGTGAAGAAACTGCCAACTCTATAAAATCGGAGCAAAGGGCTTCTGAAAATAAGGAAATAATAAAACACAAGTGTTGGATTGAACCATCACTATTTGCGCCAGATGTGCAATTCATTCGTTTTCAATTCTGCTTATGAAAATATCAGAGCTGTTAAAAATTCGCTTATATAAGAACGATAAGTACTGAATGTGTTAAGACTATTTCGTGTATACTAAGGTCCGAAATTGAAGTAATTTGCAGCAAAATGCAAGTGACCTTGGGGCACTGAAACCTTCGTCATACGTCACGTAAGCGAATTCAGCGAGGCCGGTCAGTATTTGGACACTTGCCCATTTGGAAAACCGCATGGGGAGAGCAATTAATAAAATGCCGAAACTTGTGATGAATTGCAAAGTCTGTTATCGGCACGGAACGGAACACCCTGTGTACCTTGTGAAAAACCCGTTTCACACGTAAGGCGATAACGCACTTTTCTAGTTCTTGTTTTCTTTTGCCGTACCCAAAATGATTTACATTAATATGATCACATCAGATTTCCATATTTTCTTTCTAATCCTGAAATGGATGTAAAATATCTTCTCATTCTCAACCATGCTTGAGAGAACGAGCGAGAGTAATTCATGAAGCTTCTAGAATGAGCTGATTGATTCAAGTTTTCGTTTTGTTTTACTTCCAGGGGCTCTTCCAGTTTCAAGGGATGCGGAACTGATTGGTTCATGTATTTTTTTGTTATTTCACTTCATAAGTAAATCAAATCTTGCCGGTATTAGAACTTGGTTTTATATTGCATTATTTCTTCCTTTGGAAAATGGAAACTTCTGGGGGACTTGCATGTTAAGTCAATATCAGTATATTAATTAGGCGCAGGCACCTGAATTGAGAAATTATTAAGTCGGTTTCAAACCCTTTGCTCCTTCCTTGCGATAATTCAGTTCCGTTAGATCGCAAACCGATTTGAGTAATTATTGTCATTTCTCTTCTCGGGATCACCTCAAATTTCTCGAAAGATCTTCTCCAGGATTCCTGGAGAAGTTTGCCGCAACACATGCGGGAACTGAATTCAAATAGAAAACTATTTGTAAAATGAAATTGTATTAATTTGTGATACGCATTGAATATGTGTGCCCACATAGCACATGCAATCTCCAAAGCTTGAAAGATTAGCCATCTCCGAAGCTTTAATAATTAACAGAGTTGTTTCTGTGTATTACTGAGGAAAATGTCGGATAAATTTGTATCAAACATTTGTTTCATTTAATTCTAGCAACCCAACATTTGACGTTACAGCGAAAGTGACAATAGAATTTACTGTAGATTTGACTCCTATTCTATATTATTTTATTCGTGATGTAGAACTACGGAGCATTTTGTTTTCTCATCTACTAATTCCTTAATTAAAATTTGAATTTTTTTATGGCATCAAGACGGCCTGAACTCTTTTAATATTACAATACTCTTTACTCGTTGAGAAACAAAATTCATTTTTCTCAAATCTCTCTTTATTTTTCGGTGGAAGTTAGTCACTGATTCACGATTGCGGTTCTTTTCAAGGAAGCTTTAGAGTTGTGATTTCTAAGATATTACGGAAGATATAAACCGTCAGGGTGTTTCAATTTTCCTCCGCATATCTTTTTCCAACTCGATCTCAAATACTATGGCAATTTTATTAATCAGTGTCACATCAATTGTGGAATGAACACGTTTAAAACAAAAAATTCCAACATTCCTGCAATTCGAGATCAGGCACTCTTTCGGATGGAAAATAGCAAGGTTGCTGTTATGATCTCCAACCAACATTTTCACTAGGATTATATATTTAGCCATATTTCCATTACGTATTGCAAGAATACACAAATAACTGAATTCTTCCCTTTATTGTCTTTTAGATCAGAAAGTGTAACAGGGAAGATGAATCCCGACAACTTTATAATTTGATCTTTTAAGACAACTTTAAAATAGCAACTTTTTTAGATTAGTGTACGGTTTTCGAATATTTAATAATCTTATTGGATATTCAATATTTTTTAAAATAAAAAAAACAACACCTGCGTTTTCGAAGCTTTCGCAAGCACGATAGTGACAAGACACAAGTGGCAAGTCTCCCATAATTCTCTCCAAAGGCTTGAATGAAAGGAGCTTTTTTTTTAAGCATATGCACTTCATTTGAGCAAGTTAAGTTTGTTTTGTATTTTATAATTTCCGTCACTATTTAGCCTGCAGGAAAGCTATCATTATTATTTGCGTTGTTGGAAGGACAAGTGAATGGGCAAAATGTTTCGGGTAATTCAGGAATATAAATACTGACACACATACTGAAATATTTATTTTTTAAAAAATGGTGTATTTATCATATATCTTTATAAACAAACTACAATACAAAATGTACAGTTATGTATATATGAAGTATTATACATGGATTTGTTTTACAAAATGCAAATAGGGGAAACCTTTTTTACACTATTTTATCTTATATGCAAAAATATTGCTAATTTGTTTCATAAATTATCATCCTCCTCTACTCGTAAAATACTTTCTTTCCACGTGAGGTCGCGCAACACGACACGGAACCGAAGCTCTTGCGGGCGGGGTTGGGGCGGGGCACGAGGAGCGGCGGGGCGGCGAGAATATAATAATAATAAATAGGCCCGGCCGGCGAGGGGGCCGGGAGGGGGGCCGGGCAGACGGAGTGACTGCGGGGGGCGGCGGCGCCGTGTGAGCGGGGGCCCGCGCGTCCCCCTGGGGGAGAGGGGGGGCTGTGCAGAGTGGCTGACGAGAAACTAGCTGTCTATATTACAAAGTGACTGACTACGATACGAAGTAAACTTGACCATACATAAGCGTATCAGGGCCCTCTTTTTTCATCTTCTTCTTCTTTCTCTATCCATATTTTCTTCTTTTTCTTCTTTATCATCATCGTTTTCTGTCCTCTTTCTCTCTTTCGCGGCCTGAGGGCTTGGGAGCGGGCGGCCGCTGCCGCCCCTCGACAAAGTATTAAAAAATAATGAAAAACCAAAATCCCACTTTTTTTCTTATTCATCGTAATCTTAAAACACACTACGTACACACAGTCTCTAGTGGTTACTTCTAATAGCAAAAGATATCAAAATATTTGCGTGTTAAACATAAGGTAAGATACATTTGGCGCAGGGGACCTCGGAGCGACGCAGCGCGCCGGGCTTGCTACACAGACCCGCGCATCGATTTTATACACACCTCTAAGAAGCAAAAAAAGTTAAGTACGAATGTCCTTTCACGGTACTGTCTTTCTCTCCTCTACACATGAACGACGCAGGAAGGTGATAGTAAACCTAACATGAACTAAACTTACGAAAGCAAAAATGACTGTTTGTATCATGACGTGAGACCTGTAGTTCCGCGCCTCGCAGGGGGTGGGGGGTGGGGGCGGGGGGGGGGGGGGTGGACCCGCGTGGGGGCGGCCGTGGTCCGGGCGGGGGTCGTTGGTTTTGGGGACGCCGGTTAGGTGGACACGGCGCCGCCGCGATCGGGGAAGCAAGCACGGGTGGAGAAGAGGGAGAAGGGGGGGAACTGACAGGGGAAAGCAATAACGATTATCCCCACTGAGGGCGGTCCGTGTCCGGGAAAATGGCAGCCTGGTGGCGGTGGCCGGCGCGTGAGAGGGGGGTGGGGGTGCGGGGCGAGGGGCAGGGAATGAATAAAAGAGTTCCTTCGCCGAAGGCGGCCGGCGGGGGATCGCGGGAAACTACAGTCCACATGATACAACGATTTTATGTTTGTTGAACAGTTTCGGGCGCTCGCGCACACGTGAGTCACACAACAGCGCGCTTACAATGTCCGCGGCGACACCCCCCGGCGGGGCGGTGGGGCGGCCCCGCACCCCGCCACTGCAACACACAGAGCCTAATCTCTTTCGCCGCCCGCCCCCCCCCCCCGAGGGGCTTGGGGGGAAGGGGGGGCCGGGCGACGCTGCGCGCGCTGCGAAGACCGCCCAGAGATCATATGATGATTGGCTGGCGACGGGGCCCGCGCGCGGCGGCTCAGCAGATGAGGTTTCGTGAGCCGCGTGGTCCCAGTCGCCTGACGCAATTTGGCCCCTTCCGGGCCGAAGTCGACAGCTATGTCCGGACACGTGGGCTGAGCAGTTGAACTCGAAGTGCGAGCCGCTGGAGGTAGGACGCCCGAAGTCGAAAGAGTCCAGTTCGCGGGTGAGCGATCTCCATGGTCGATCCACGCTCTCGGCGGGGGAATTCGGGACGTTGGAAGAGGTCACGGTGACCGACCTCCAGGTGCGGTCGAGGGAGGGCGTGTTCGCTGCTGCCACGGCTCGGGGTCACGTTCGAAGCGGTTTCGTCCCTTTGATGGTTCCAGGTCGTCGGCGTCGCGGGCTCCAGCTTGATGATGAGGGCCGGCGCGGGGCGGTCGTCGGGCGGACGCCACGTCCCAGACTTCCATTCGCGTCAGCGGCTCGCTCTTGAGGAGGAACGAGGGCGCGCGGCAGCTCGGACGCCGGCGGCAGGCGCGCGTTGCGCGTGAGCCGGCGCGGGCGAACGTGGACACGGCCAGCGTCACGGGCGCCGGTCCTCGTTAGAAAGACGCGCTCTCGGGCGAGTCGGGCGTGTGCTATGGACGTGGCTTGGCACGGCATCCTTTTGGGCGGCGGCCGGGGTCGGCGCGGTGCGCGAACGACGCGGCGGCCGCCTGCGGCCCCCGAACGCCGGGGGCGCCGTCGCCGCGCGCGCTCCGCCATGCCGTGAGGCGCGCCTTGAGGCGGTTGGCCGATGGCCGGGGAGGCCCGCCCGCCGCGCCGGGCCCTCCGCGCGGGCCGACCGCCGTGGCGCGCCGCGGCTCGCCGTCGCCGGGAAACGCGTTGTTGTTGGAGGTCGGCGGCGGCCCGCCGGGCCGCGCCTCCGCGCGTGCCGCCTTGCGGCCCTTCTTCGGGGGAGGCGCCCGAACGCGCCGCCGGCGCCCTTGGGCGTACGGCTTGGGCCGCCTTCTTGCGGCGGCCTGTAACTTGTAGTCGGGTACTCTGCATGTCGCAGTCGCTGGCGCAGGCGCTCGGCCTCGTCGATGAAGGGTGCCGCTCCTCCCTCCGTCAGCGTCCTTCTCAGCGCGCCCCAGCCGCTTTGGAGATCTCGGCAATTGTGCATGTCGGG